GGGGGGGGGGGGGGTGGTGCCTACAAGTGTCAACTAGTATTTTACCTCACTGATTGTAGGAGCCACAATTCTGACTGGCTGCTTTCTTTTTCTACTCTTATCATCTTCATCATCTTCAGAACCTTTCTTTTTACCAACAGAAATTCCTGTTCCAAACGACCAGGGAGAAGGCATACGCGAAAACAAACTTCCAACTGATTTCTGCTCTTCGTTTGCCACACTTACTGGAGTCTTTTTATCTTTTTTTATTTGACTTAAAGGAACATACTCCTCTTCGACCTCTATAATCTCGTCCTCATCTTCATCGAGGTTTTGAGTGTCAAGAGTCGAGAAATTCGATCTTAAAACTGCTGTGGCGTTGTTTGGATTGTTTGGCTTTGGTAATAGCGATGATAGACGTGAACGATTACCAGAATTAGTCAAAGTTACGTCTTCGGAGGCCGTAGAAGTAGAAGGAGTAGTTTCTTCTACACGTTTGGCAGATGAAGTCGAAGGTTCACAAGCGGAAAACGACGATGTTTTTGGAGGAAAATTAGTGTTTCCTTCTCCTTCGCTATCACTTGATCCATCATTACTATCTCCGTAAGCTACAAGTGACATTTTAGACGTCTTGTTCTAAAATATTAGTCTAAATTCCGAGCTAAAATGTCGAACTTTCTTTACACAAGAACCTACAAGGACGCCATCTTGAAACTTCTAATGAAATGCGCCTGCGCAAATTTGAAAGATCGTCAATACCACAGGAAACCCAAAACTTTATTTTATTTTTATATGTGTGGCGTTCATTGATATGAAATTCTGCTAAAAACCGTATATTTCTAGAGATAAACTCACTAAGGGGACTCTCTTTCAGTAGATAAGTAGCTTGAAAGCTAAGGAAGGCCATTGCATTAATAGGTTTCTTCTTATTTGACAAAGTGAGTGAGCGCCGAACGGGAGTCGAGAAGCGGCGGCACACGTTTACGATGTAAAGTTTACTATTTTCGTTGCAATCTGAAATTGTTTTTTCTTGGACTTCATATATAGCTGGTCCAGCCCATCGAATCTCCGTATGCTACGAATTTGGTTGTACTATCCACATGACAAGTTGTCCAGTGCGCCAATGCCTCCCATGAGTTTTTCAGGGATTGGCCAGCCCATCGAATCTCCATATGTTACGACTTTTGTTGCGCTATCCACACATGACAAGTGGTCCAGTGGGCCCCTGAAAGGGCATCGCTATCCAAAGATATTTTCCGCTTTTTATCCCCACATTTATCAGAAACATGATATTTATGGGATTGCCACATTCTCATTTGATCTTTTTTTTGAACAATTCTATTAATATTCCATGTTTGGTTTAACTATTAACACAGAAAGTTGTATATTTTCTTAGCCATCAAGTACATATGATCTATTTCTTAGCCATCTAGTGCATATGGCTACAGCAGAATCCTGAAACTCTTCAGGGACAATGTTGTGGCCTTTAATATTTTGATTATGCGCAGTTTGAAAGATAAGTTCCTGAAAACGACAAACCGAAACTTCCGAGGGATGTTTTCGCTAAAACCATAACTCACCAGGCTGGGTATGGGGCTTCATTTTAATTAGTAAACTCACCTTTGTTTCATGCATTGTTAACTAAGTGTTCCACTTCTCTACAAACCGTAGAAAATGTTGAAAGGAAACACCATTTTTTATTTCAATGAAACGCGCTTCCTCAAACTCGAAAGACCGCTGTACATGTAGAGAGAAACACAGGAAACCCAAAGCTTTTTTTGTTGTATCTTTGACATTGAACTATGATAAATGAATAAATAGAAAATAAAACATTTTTGACGTTAAGGGGTGATAAATAAGTGTACAAGKAAAGGGGATTCCTTGGGTCGGCACCAGTAATCAACGAGCAAGTCGTTCACAAGTACCTAACAGGTAGATTTCTATACATATACACCATGATACCACATGATAACATATAGTATTCCATTATTAATGACTCCTTACGATCCCCTTATTGGCTCCAAACGAAAAGGAACAAATATGAAACGATCGCCATAACTTGCTACAGTAAAAAAGGAAGCATATTAAATGGGAAAATAGAAAACAAATGTGATGGAAAAATGGATGGAAATCCCTTGGAAATAAACGTAAGTTTAACCGGTTAAAATTAGAGTTATACAAGAACAGAAATTCTTTATATAACATTCGGATGCTTCGTCGCCATTTTATTATAACGTGTTTTTTATGATACTTTATATGATGGTCGTGGCTTGAATAATGACTATATATCCTATTCAGGCGACAAACACATTGTTAATCTAACGCTTCTAAAAGATATTATAATCTAAACGAACTGTAATGGTTGTTTTATCTACTGATTACGAATAAACTCGCTGGTAGAACCTGTACGATTAGGTTTTAATCTATTATGGCTGACGACGTCTGTGCTGTTTATCATGCAACAGTGAAAACTATTGGCTAGATTTATTGCGTTTAATATCCATGGTAACTATTTACTGTCTGTGGGAAATATTACAAGAAAATTTGAATCGTATCTTATAGAGTCAGGGCCATAGATATGAAGAAAGATTTTTTTTTTGAAAGCCTGAAAAAATAATCAAAACTTGTTGTGAAATTCATACCTCCCTAGCGTTATCAAGTGTATATCTTACAAATAATTGAATTACAAGTTGTTTCGTTTCCTCAAAACGCTGCAGTTGACACGAGAAATTCTTACTCTATTGAGAAATTTGATGTTAAATTATTWTTTTTTCAGATGTAGAGAAATCTATAGATTCAAAACGATTACCAAATGAGCCCGCACACCCGGGATGTCTGAGTTGCCCTCACCCATAGACACGCATGCGTACTCACTAACAAAAGAAGCCAAAGAATTATTAAGTCGTATCAATATAACTAACCACTCGCCGAGGGTTGGTAAGATGGACGATCATACTCCATTGTCTCCAGAAACTAAAGTTCATCATGAAAACATGGCGCTTTATATGTTCGCTGGTATTGTCGTGACGTTTGTTCTCATTAGTACGGTTATCCTGTTCGTGGAGTTGTATCGAAATGGACGGTGTTTAAAAACTACGAAACAGAAAAAAGAAACCAAGAAAAAGATAGAGGAAGCTGAGGAAATTGAGCTTAAAGATATCTCATGACATGCGCAGTAAGGCAACGTGAAAGTGCAAGGAATTAAGGGATTTTATAGATATCTCATGACATGCGCAGTAAGGCAACGTGAAAGTGCAAGGAATTAAAGAATTTTATAGATATCTCATGACATGCGCAGTAAGGTAACGTGAAAGTGCAAGGATTTAAATATCTCGTGGCATGCGCAGTACGGCAAAATAAAAGCAAAAGAAATTGCGGGATTTCACAAATATCTAATGACATGCGCACTTGAATATCATGAGCACGCAAGAAATTATGGAATGTATACACGTGCGCAGTGAGACAACATGAAGGCGCAAAGGATTGAAGGATGTTATAGAAACTTCATGACATCTGTAGTAAGACAGAACTAAACACAAGAAAAATTTAAGAGTATTATAGATATCTAATGTCATGCGCATTTGAATAGTACGAGTGCAAAGGAATAGATATCTCACACATGCGCATTGAGGGAACATGAATGGCAATAAATTATGGGGTGTTATACATATTTAATGACATGCGCACTTGAATATTATGAGCGCGCAAGAARTTAAGACGTGCAGATATAGATATCATTGCTGGTTTTCAAACATTCCCAAGAGAATGAAATAACAAAAGACACGGCGGCCATGTTGGATGACATAACAAAAGAGACTAATGACGAAGCTTGAATTCATCCAACATGGCGGCTGTGGAAACCATCAATAGATGGGCAAGAAATCAGTTATGGGATGTACGTCATTGTAAAACGTTAGCTAACCCATGCATTCCCATCTACCAAACTGAACACTCGTCCCAGTCTCCGGTCAACGAATTAATGTAACGCAACCATTTCCTAACGGTGTGGTTTGGTAATGCTCTTGAAATAATTTATATTTGAGTTTAATAATAAAATGGGAATTCTGCGTCAAATATGTTATTCTAAATATCTATTTTTTAACGAAAAAAACTAGCGATAGTAACTGACCTTTCAAGTGCCGCTGACATCATTTTCAAAGTGAAACAGAAAGAGTTTGAGTCATTTATTATCGCTAGTTTTTTTCGTTAAAAGTATATAAAAAGATTCTTTAACCTGAATATTTATGTCAACCTTAAGCAATGGTCGTCGAACTTAATACGTCTCACTGATGTGGTTTAATAAATTTCTGGGTAAGTAAGAAGTATAGTCTTAAAACTGTTTTGAAGTATGAGAGCATGAGAAAATGATAATGAAAGCGCTATTTAGCGACAGGCGTCAACTATCTACAATACACGTTACATGTTGAAATCATATTCCTGAATTTTCTTGAAATTTTTACTTTTTATTCATGAATTTGATTAATTTTTTTAACAACAGCTAGAGCTGGTGGTTCCTGTGTTACCGGAAGTTCCTTTGTTTAACACTAAGAGTCCTGTACTAAATGTCTATTGTTACTGCCTCTATCCAAGAGGTACTTCATATATTTTTTACAGAACTTCTGGTGAAAAAAATTTATTACGAACAARCGCTTGCCCATCCTTGACTCTCTCTCAACAAAAGCATCATTTTTTCAACATCCTACTTATGACAGATGAGATGAGAATCAGTTTCCGTTCCCTTAATGTGTGTTTTGAGAGTTGTAGTTTATCCTCGATGATGCTTGACGACCAGCAGAGGCGTCGGAGGAAGTCATTCATGATAAGGCAGGTCTGTGGATCTAAAAACTTGGATTTTTTACGTAGATTGTACAATTCAGTACTTGTAAAAGGATAGACAATTACGAACTCGCCGTACATTTTGGTCTTATATAAAGCAGGTCTGAAGATCTAGGAACTTTTTTACGCGAGGGGGAAAACACGTAGAAAATTTATAAAGCATAGAGTGGGGGGTAACGTTTTTAAATAATTTAATTAAAGTCTTCGTACAAATTCAATTGCTTTTTAGATGTGCTTCTCATTGAAAACCGTAAATACAGTATAAAAAGACATCCTGACAGCTGTGAAGTCTATACATTTTCCAATAGTTGCCCCCTCAGCAATTCATAATGTCTTAATTAAAACAATATAATTCAAGATGGCCACCATATCGGAAAATATGTCTATCCCTTGTAAACATGTACAGTAAGTTACGTCTTATGCTGAGTCACGCTGACCGTATAACGGATATAACAGTCTTTAACTCACTTGTAAATATCGCATATCAGTGGTTATATAACATTTTATTATCGACACCACTTCAGATATAATTGATGACTGTCTGTTCTTGGTCTGGGATCATCAGCCTTGTAGATACCAATATACCGGCCGGGTGATAGTAGTTAAGTGTGTTTGTTGTAAATAGTTAACCCAAGACTTACTGTTCAGACAACTACAATAATGATCACATGTTTTCTAACGTAAACATCATTCAAAATCCAAATGAACCAGACGCACAAACGCTTTTGAATATTCTCAGAAGGAGAGTTTTTTGTAGGAGAGAAGAAGGGGTTGATGTAGTCTATTGTTGATATAAAATATAAAACTGTTAGCACCGAGTAGTCTGCTGAGCCGTTTATCTAAAARGTGTAAAGAAATGAATTACCCTGTATGAGCTACAATTGCGGATGAAGATTTTGCTTTTAGACTAAAATACAAACAGTTCCCCAAGCAATGCT